TGAAACCCGATGATCGTAGACTCCGGGAGGAAAGGTTCCAGAACAGCCACATGATTGGGTCCTATTGGGACACCGTGGCGCGCTGGATGAACATGCGTGACCAGCGGGACGCGGACGTCCTGAAGAAGCCTCTCTCCCTCGTGCAGGCCGCCGACAGGTCTGCCCCGACGATGAGCAGGAAGGACGCCGCCAAGATGATGAACTGTGCCAACCCGAAGAACACCGGTGGCATGCACGGACTGCCCCCGGTGCACGTGGGCATGCGGGTCCGGCTCCTGGAGGCGCTAGACCTCAAGAGCGGCCTCGTCAAGGATGCCGAAGGGCAGATCGTGGACATCGTCGTGGACCCTCGAGATCGGGGCGACGTCGACAAGGCCGAGAGAGACGGGGAGAAGAGGATCTATCTGAAGCAGTTGCCGCGGGGGTTCTGGGCGCACATGGAGAAGTACTCGAGCGCGCCCTTCGTGCACGACCTCGAGCGCCACGACGAGAGCCTCACGGGGGACCTCACGGGCCCGCTGGTGTTCATCGAGCCTCGCACGTCGGAGCCGTTCACGTTCCGCACCTCTAAGGTCACACGAACGGGCTTCCCCTTCTCGCGCGGCAGGGTCATCACCACGGCGGCGTGCTAGGGGCGCACCACGCGCGAAGGAGACGGGGCGAGGGAACAGCGCTCTGGGGCAGTTTACGGCCAGAGCTGCTGGGCGCGAGCGGTCCGCAGCCAGACCTTCTCTCGGTCTCGTGGACTTTCGCCCTGGGCCGTCGGCTGTCCGGCGCGCTGGCCCCTCGGCCGACGTCGCCCAGGCGTGATCCTGGACTGCGGCCGCCATGAGGTTGGGAACGGCAAGAAGGAGGACGACGACTGGTGGCTGGAGCTCTACGTGCTGCTCATGCGGGCGCCGCGCATCGAGTTCTTCCTGGAAGGGCCGCCGGAGGGATTGCGGAAGCAGCTGGGGCAGTTTGCTACGCGCACGAAGCGGTGCAGGAGGGAGGCGACGGCCCTCGCCAAGGAGCTGGGCTTCACCGAGTTAATCCGCGAGGCTTGACTTGAACAGCGACACGTCCGAGCCTCGCCGTTTCTCGACGGTCTGACTGTTTGGCTTCGCGCCGCGGGCAACCCGTGCGCGTCGCTGGGACCCTCTCGGGGCGACCAGCGCGCGTCCCGGGAATTTCGCGCTGCGCTCTGCCCAGAGCCTCGCTCGCCCTCGTCGTCACTCTGCCCAGCGGCCACAGCCTTGCCCGCTATCAGCCAGCCTGCTCGCTCTCCCTGCTGCGCGCAGCGGACGACCCGCGCGCGTCGCCGGGACCCCTTCGGGGCGACCAGCGCGCGTCGCGGGGACTCCGCGCGGCGCCGCGCCCGCAGCCATGGACATCGGCGCGCACGGGCAAAGTGGCAGACAAAGAAAGGGAAGGAAGCGGGCGCGATCCTCGTGAGGAGCGTGCCGACGTGGGCGTCGAGATATGTGTACGTAGTGATTCGCACGCAGACTCATTCACAATCACACCCACTCGCGCTCAGGCTCACCCGTTCTCAGCCTCTCGCACTCAGACCGACCGTCTTTGTTCGAGCGCGGGCGAAGATGGGATTCCACAGTTGCGGCATTCACATCCGCATATGGTTGGGTCCTTCGTCAGGCTAATTTGGAAACGGTGCAAAAACGGCCTCACCGTTTCCGGGGTCCACTAAGCTCCAACTCCTACTCCTACTCCCACTCCTTCTTCTACGACTACTCCGTCTCCTTCTCCGTACTCCTACTTGTACTACTTTTACCACTACAACTACTACTACCACCACCACTACTACGTACTACTACTACTACTACCACCACCACCACCACCACCACCACCACCACTACTACTACTACTACTACTACTACTACTACTTCTACTACTACTACTACTACTACTACTACTACTACTACTAACCACTACTACTGCTACTACTACTGCTACTGCTACTGCTACTGCGACTGCTACAGCTACTGCTACTGCTACTACTACTACTACTACTACTACTACTGCTACTACTACTACTACTACTACTACTACTACTACTACTACTACTACTACTACTACTGCTACGACTACGACTACTACTAGTATTACTACTACTACTACTACTACTACTACTACTACTACTACTACTACTACTACTACTACTACTACTACTACTACTACTACTACGACTACTACTACTACGACTACGACTACGACTACTACTACTACTACTACTACTACTACTACTACTACTAGTACTACTACTACTACTACCACGCCTACTACTACTACTACTACTACTACTGCTGCTACTACTACTACTACTACTACTACTACTACTACTACTACTACTACTGCTAGTACTATTACTACGACTACTACTGCTACTACTGCTGCGACTGCTGCGACTACGACGACTACGACGACTACTACGACTACTACCACTACCACTACTACGACTACTACGACTACTACGACTACTACGACTACGACTACTACTACTACTACTACTACTACTACTACGACTACTACTACTACTACTACTACTACTACTACTACTACTACTGCTACTGCTACTACTACGACTACCTGCTGCTCCCACCCATTCCCCGCTCCCTCATCATCATCATCATCATCATCATCATCATCATCATCATCATCATCATCATCATCATCATCATCATCATCATCATCTGCATCATCATGATCAGCAGCAGCATCATCATCATCGTCATCAGCATCGTCGTCATCATCATCAGCATCATCAGCAGCATCAGCATCCTCATCCTACTCCTCAACGTCCTTCCTGCTGTGCCTGCCAGGAAGTTGATTGGCCTCCCTGGATCCCGAATTTTCTTATCCCACCCTGTGAATCTTAGGGGCATAGGGTAACCCAAAAAGAACGAGAAATGTTGGAAGAGCCGCCGTTGTCTCGACTGGCCCCCTCTGCGAGGAGGGGGAGGAGGGGGAGGAGGAGGAGGAGGAGGAGGAGGAGGAGGAGGAGGAGGAGGAGGAGGAGGAGGAGGAGTTGGAGTCCCAGGACATAGTCCTACCCAGGAGGAGAAAGAGGAGGAGGAGGAGGAGGAGGAGGAGGAGGAGGAGGAGGAGGAGGAGGGGGACAAACCGACCCCCCCTGTGACTGCATTGGGCGACAGAGCCTCCGAGCCCACCCCTCTTTCGCCCCTCCCGGGGGTGCCAGCAGAGCACCGCCGCGCTGAGGGCGGGGCTCTGCCACGAGATGGCGTACAGCACCACCTCTGAGCGCCCAGCTGATCACCGGCTGGGTCGGACGAAAGTTGAGAGGCAACTTCCGGGAGGTCTTCACAAAAACTACGAAGCGCGATTCAGCCCCACTTTCAGGGGTCCCCAAGCCGTAGGCCGGATTGAGAAGCGGCTTGAGACGAGCTTGACAAGATGAAGCGGGATTGAGCCACATCACGCGGAAGTATGCCGCATTGCGCCAGCCTTCGACCACACGTATTCCAGCGCCGATGCTGAATGAAACCTACCAGGAGCTGCATCCTAACGAAAGGGGCGGCAGCCAATGGATCCCAGACGTGCTTGCGTCGCGGAACAACTCACGAGGGGAAACGGGCGGCTCGTGCTGTGCTCGGCAAACCGGGGAACCTCGACGGGAGCTGGGCCCGCCACAGAAACGGGTCGGGAGCGGAAGCTGGCGCTGGGCAAAAGGTCGAGACTTCAGGGGGGCGCACATTGAACAACTCAATACATGGCGGATCTCGGAAACCCTGAACCCAATAACGTCTTCATCTCTTGGGGGTGCTTTTTTTACTTCCGCCGCCTGCCGCCGAGCTTCCGCCGGCTTCCGCCAGCAGAGGCGGCCTCGTTTTACTTCCGCCGCCCTGACGCCGCGGAAGAGATGACAACTCCTTCCATTCTCAAAGACAAGGCCCTTCTTGGCACGCCCCACACATCGGCGCACTACTTTTTCTCGTCCTCCTCCTCCTCCTCCCCTTCCTACTCCTCCTCCTCCTCCTCCTCCTCCTCCTCCTCCTCCTCCTCCTCCTCGTCCTCGTCCTCCTCCTCCTCCTCCTCCTCCTCCTCCTCCTCCTCCTCCTCCTCCTCCTCCTCCACGGCAAACTCACGGCAAGCCCTGCGTCCGAGGCGGGCTCTGCCCTGGTGCCCGAGGCGCAGTGGCCGCGCGTCGGAACAAACGGCGCGGCGACACATCGCATGGGGAGAAGGAGGGGAAGAAGGAGGAGGAGGAGGAGGAGCAGCAGCAGGAGGAGGAGGCGGAGGAGGAGGAGGAGGCGGAGGGGGAGGGGGAGGAGGAGGAGGAGGAGGAGGAGGAGGAGGAGGAGGAGGAGGTGGAGGAGGAGGAGGAGAAGGAGGAGCAGAAGGAGGAGGAGATGTTCGGTGCTCGCATTTTGGTGTTTGGAGCTTCGGACTTAGTTTGGTCGGGATCGGGCTGGGAGGCTAGATCGGATCGGAGCGGAATTCGGATTGGGCTGCATCGGCACGGAGTCGAGACCGAATCGAGCCAGCCGCACCAAGATGCATTACAGCATCACGTATCCATCGGGACGCTTCGGATCGTCGGAACATCGGAATCTCATCGGATCGGGTCAGCCTAAATCGATGTGGAATCGGATCGACCGGTTCGAATTGGATCCTGAAGAGGTCGCGAATCAGCTGCATGAGACAGACTTCGCAATCCCCCATGGCCCATACCCGATTCTCGTCTGACCCCAACCACGGTCAGAACCTTTGCTCAGCGTGTCGCCGCGGTGGCCCCAACGGCACGCCATGCTTTGCAAACTGACGGCGTGTCGCTCCGCTCCGAGGGGCGGGAGGCTCGGAAAGGCTCGGGGCGTTGAAGCTTGGGGCTGGGACGTGGATAGCGTGTCGAGCCGAGGCGCGGTGGGCCAGAATCGGCGGAGCGGCACGGCAAATCGAAGTCCCCAGACCGCAGGCCGGACTCGAGGTTCGATGCCTGAGGCTCGGGGCTCCAGGTTCCCAGACGTTCCTGAGGCCTCCAGAAGCCTCCCAAGGCCTCCAGCGACCCCCAAAGTGCCTCCGGGGACCTCCTGCGGCGGAGGCCCCCCGGGACCTCTGGAGATCCACGCAGACAGGAGGAGGAGGAAGAAGAGGATGAGGAGGAAGAAGAGGAGGAGAAGGAGGAGCAGGAGGAGGCGAAGGAGGGGGAGGAAGAGGAGGAGGAGGAGCAGGAGGAGGCGGAGGAGGGGGAGGAGGAGGAGGAGGAGGAGGAGGAGGAGGAGGAGGAGGAGGAGGAGGAGGAGGAGGAGGAGGCCTCCCGAGGCCTCCAGCGACCCCCGGGAGCCTCCTGGAACCTCCTACGGCGGAGGCCTCCCGGGACCTCTGGAGGTCCCCGCGGACAGGAGGAGGAGGAAGAAGAGGAGGAGGAGCAGGAGGGGGAGGAGGAGGAAGGGAGGAGGAGGAGGAGGAGGAGGAGGAGGAGGAGGAGGAGGAGGAGGAGGAGGAGGGAAGGAGGAGGAGGAGGTGGAGGAGGAGAGAAGGAGGAGGAGGAGGAGGGAGGAGGAGGAGGAGAAGGAGAAGGAGAAGAAGGAGGAGGAGGAGGAGGAGGAGGAGGAGGAGGAGGAGGAGGAGGAGGAGGAGGGGGGGAGGAGGAGGAGGGGGGAGGAGGAGGAGGAGGAGGAGGAGGAGGAGGAGGAGGAGGAGGAGGAGGAGGAGGAGGGGAGGAGGAGGAGGAAGGAGGAGGATGAGATGGAGGAAGAGAGAAGGAGGAGGAGAAGGAGGAAGAGGAGGAGGAGGAGGAGGAGACTAAGACTGACTATGTGGGGCGGATGCCCCTTTGTCCGAAGACGCATGAAGCGAGCTCAACAGTCCTCCTCTTGAGGGAGCTCGCCTTGTGAAACTCTGGACTCGACAGACTTACACCACCGAGCGAAATCTACGACGGCGGTCGCTAAGGATAGTGCCTACCTCGAGGACCTTGCGGGCGCCTGCTCTCCTTATTATTCTTGGCCTCGTCTTTTATTGTCTCATTTGCCGCGGCGCCCGCCAGGTACATCCTGACACGAGTCGCACTTCTTTCATTCAAGAACGCTACAATCGTAGGATTCAGGTTGGTCAACGTAAAAGGAGGCGGGGGAGGAGGAGGAGGAGGAGGAGGAGGAGGCGGGAGGAGGAGGAGGAGAGGAGGAGGAGGAGGAGGAGGAAGAGGCGGAGGAGAGAAGGAGGAGGAGGAGGAGGAGGGAGGAGGAGGAGGAGGAGGGAGGAGGAGGAGGAGGAGGAGGAAGGAGGAGGAGGAGGAGGAGGAGGAGAAGAAGAAGAAGAAGAAGAAGAAGAAGAAGCAGAAGCAGGCCCGATCGCGTGCGACCTTGCAAATGCCGCCCCCGGTCGCGCCGCGGCTCACCGCGCGCCCGCCGCCAGGGCCCCGGGGGGCCGACCACGGGCTGGCCGCCGAGGCCGCGAGCACACGGCTCGGGGAGACGCAGGACTCGGGTCCGGGGGACCCGGGCTGGCCCGACGGGGCCACCACGAAAGTGACGCGACGCAGTCTGAAACTCGGCGCGGGCGCCCGCGGCAGACGTCCCACGCAAACTGGGCCGTCCACATTCCAGGACGCGCTCGGAAAAAAAAGCGTCGGCCCGCCCGAGCTCGGGCGCACTCGAGTCTGGCGCTTCCCCGAGCACGGCGCGACCGCCGAGCGCGCGATGCTCGTCGGCTCTGCGCGCGCCCCCTGGCGGATCGAGGAGGGAGGCGATTGAACACGCGTGGACACATGGGCGATTCTTGAAGGGGCCCCAGGACACACAAATAAACACACACACACACACAAATAAAAGGGTTTCCCATATTTTCCATATTTGTTGGGTTTCTGCCTCCCCCCCACACTTCCCATATTTTCTCATATATTCTGGGGAATCGACGATTGATTGTGTCTGTGTATTTTTTCCCCTCCTGAATTCTGGCAACCCTGAACCCCAAAACTGGTCATCTCTTGGGGGCGCACCTCCTACTTCCGCCTCCCCTTCGCCGCCCTCCCGCACGCCTCCGCAAGCCTCCGCCGGCTGCGGCGGCCGCGTCCAGCTCCCGCCGACCTTCCGCCGCCCTTCCGCCGCCTTCCGCCGAGGAATAGGCCACAAGTCCTTCGACCCTGGAGGGCGAGGACCTCTCGGGAACGCCCCGCACGCGTGGGCCGCCTCCTCCCGCCCCCCCGCGCCTCCCCTGCCTGGGCTGCGCTGCCGCGCCCCGGGGCTGCCGCCCCGCCCGCGCTGTGCGCCCGCCAGCGCTGCGACCAAACAAGAGGGTGCTCGCCTCTCGCGCGCCTGCGTAGGTCGGGCGTGCCCCCCCACAGGCGGGCTGTGGACGAAAGATACAGACTACCCCCAAAATATCCCCCCCGGATGCCCAAAAAGGGCAGCAACAAATCCTCCCCAGACTATTGTTGGACGATTTCTGGATGTCCCCCCTGTAGAGGGCCGGGCCCGACTTGAGCGTATGTCCGGGCCTCCAGGAACCCGCGCAGGCCTTCTCCGGGGACCTCCGCGGGGGCCTCGACCTCCCCAGGGGCGCCCAGGGAGGGCCAGGAGCCCGCGCGGAGCCAGAACTCGTCCTCCTCCTCCTCCTCCTCCTCCTCCTCCTCCTCCTCCTCCTCCTCCTCCTCCTCCTCCTCCTCCCCACGTCGGCGATCGCCGAGCTCGTGGCCAGCGGGCCTAAGAGCGCCGCGAGCAAGGGTCTAAGGAGGAGCCTCTCCACCAGCAGCCGCTTCACCTCGGGGCAGTGGAAAAAAAGCAGGGGCCAAGAGGTTCGGCCTCCTGCTCCTCTTCCCTGCTCTCCTCCTCTCGCGAGAACCATGCTGCAGATAGCCCAGGATGGATTCAGGAAGCTCTGGAGTTTCCAGCGGCCCTCGGCCAGTCGCACCTGCCACTCATCTCTGGCCACGTGGGACCAGAAATCTAGAAATCCTGGAGCACATCATAATCATAACTTCTCGCCCTGGCGCTGCCAAGGGGGGTCCAAGTGCCGATCCAAGAAATCCGCGCGGACCCGCGAGAATGTGCGTTTATGTAGTTGTTTGTTGTTGTTCGATCTACACTCCTCCTCCTCCTCCTCCTCCTCCTTCTCCTCCTCATCCTCTTCCTCCTCCTGCTCCTGCTCCTCCTCCTCCTCCTCCTCCTCAACCTCCTCCTTCTCCACCGCCACTCCGTCTCCCCCCCCCTCATCCTCCCATCCGCTCCCCAGAGGGTGGGAAGGGTGGGGGAGGGGTGAATATCATCCCCTCCGTGGTTTTGGCCGCTACTGGAAACCTCTACGAGACCAGCACACGGACACCGCACCATGCTTAGACTCCTTTGGACTCTTTTCCACTGCGGTACCTATGGTGCACAGATGTTCAACCCTGAGGCCGAACAACGTATCCTCAGTGCCATTCCCGGGCCGAACATCGACGACGCCTTGGGAAACACCAGCGCAATACGGTGCTGAGGGGCGCCGTTAGTGGGGGCACCGGCTCATGGAGGGGGGAGGGAACGTCGGCCTGGAATCGGCGATACACCTCCGAAAGATCGGCGACAGGCCGATAGCGAATCCGCACACTCCTGGGCTGGGACGGACTACCTGGCCCCAATCGGAGATGAACGAGCGGGGGTCGGTGAGCACCCCCCGAGCCTATCCCCACCTAACGTTGCCCCCCTGTTTTTTTGTCATATCTCGGCTCTCCTACGGCCAGCCGGGATGATTCCAGCACTCCCGGAACGCTCTCGAATGGGCGCAGCTAACGGAAGACATGCCTGGTGTCGGAAACGCTCCAAAATCAGCGAAGGCATGGAACAACTTCAGAGACAACGTCAGGAAAAAAAGAACGCGACCTTGCCCCAGAACGGTGCACGCCGGATCGCCCACGTGCCCCAGGAAGCTTCGAATAGGCGCAGCTGAAGGAACCGTGCCTGGTTTCGGAACCGTTCAAAAACCTTCGAAATCATTTAAATCTTTAGAGAAAAAACGTCAGAACACCACGACCTTGCCCCAGACTGGTGCCCGCAGGACGCCGGCGGGACCTCGCCCACGTGCCCCAGGAAGCTCGGGAGGTCCAGCGCCGGCAGCGACCGCGCGAACTGCGGCGCGGGCCGCATGTGGCCGGCCACCTCCTGTGAAGGTCCGATCATCCACCACCACCACCACCACCACTACCATATGTAGGTAATTAAGAGAGGGAGGAGGAGGAGGAGGAGGAGGAGGAGGAGGAGGAGGAGGAGGAGGAGGAGGAGAAGGAGGAGGAGGAGGAGAAGGACGAAGAGGAGGAGGAGGAGGAGGAGGAGGAGAAGGAGAAGGAGGAGGAGGAGGAGGAGGAGGAGGAAAAGAAGGAGGAGGAAAAGAAGGAGGAGGAGGAGGACCTCACCATCCTCCCTTTTCCTCCGTCCTACCTAATTATCGTAGTGGTGGTGGAGAATTGCCCCACCATCCTGCGCCAGGGTTGTCTCCAGCAGCAGTTCCAGCCGCAGGCGCCCCGCCCCAGCGGGGGAGGGCACCGCCCCCGGGCCTTTCTGGGCTCCCGCCCTCCCTGGGAGCTCGCCCTCCTGTTGTCGGCGGCCCGCCGGGAGGGGGAAGCGAGAGGGGGCAGGGCTTCGCAGAAGGCGGCGATGCTCCTCGGGCGCCCCACGGCCTTCTGGGAGCCCCCTGTGTGCCTTCGGGGAGGGCTCGGACAAGGGCTTCTCGGAAGGCCTCCCGTCCCAGAAGGCCCGCCCTCCTCTGCCTTCCACCCCCTGGGCGCGCTGCCGACTGTCGGCACGAAGGGAAGGGGTACTGGAGGAACCGTTTCGCCGCCGGTGGACCGTCCAGGGCCCTCCACGGACCTGGAGGGCCGTAAGCACAGCGGCCCAGGATGAAGGACTGGTCCTGGGGCCGAAGCCCTGCGACCCCAAGTTCCGTTTTCCTGCGGGCCCCTTTCCTTCATGGCGACTCCTTGCTGGACGAGAACGATGGCATGATGCGATTGGTTCGGGACGCGTCGCAGGAATTCTGGAGTATCTCAAGGTAATTGTCTTTGGAGTTCGCGCGGAACAACAGGAAAGCATGGACATGTCGGAACGCACCACTGTCCACTATCGCGGTTTCTTGTTCGTCTGTCCTTGGGCTCAACTGGCACCTGCCTCTCCCGCCGGTCGGCCAGCCTAGGGAAACAGAAACAACATAGCAATACCTCTACTCCCCGGAACTCTCCCGGGGCGCGTTGTGAGTAGAATTGCAAGGAGAATCCAGCCTCGGCGACATGGGTTTCCCAGGGGCCCCCAAAAAACAAAATGAAGGTCGCCTCGGTACCTTTTCCTCCACCGACTGCCTCTCACTGGAATCCCCGACGTCGGGGTGAGCCAACGCGAACCAGCCGCTGACAGGCCGCTGTCGCGGCAGAACCCATAAAGGAATCTCAACGAACCCGCAGTTCCTTTGGGGGCCACACGCGGACCCTACCCCTACCCCCCGACGATCTCCGAGGGGGAGGGTGGGGGGTTCACTTCGTTGGAGAGCTATCAAGCGACGTGAACCCCAGCCTCCTCCTCAGAAATCGTGGGGGGTGAGGGAAGGAGTTCGCGTGTGGCCCCCCGGTTCCTGGTGTGCCCGAACATGCTGTCCTTCCGGAGCACGGGGTCGTCGTCACAGACGCGTGGCGGCACGCGCGCAGGGGCCGGCGCGACAGGGCGCCCTTCCGAAAAAACAGAGGGGGGGGGAGCTGAGCAGGCAGGCTGCCTGTTCTGAGCATCGCTCAACCGATCCCCATCCCCACTGGCGTGGGCTCCAAAGGCCGATTTACCCCCCCAGATGGGGAAGTGGGCCGTTCCCTTCGGGCTTCGAGGGGTGCATCCCCAACTGGGGGGGTGATTTGGTGGGGGTCTCGAAGGGGATGGGGATGGGGATGGGGATCGGTTAAACGATACTGATGTTTGGAGGAGCGAAAGACGGAGTAACAATAGACTTCCAGAGCCCCGCGCGGATTCCCCGGATCAGCGCCAGACCCCCCAGGCGCGTTTCGCGCGCTAGGGGCGGACCGTTCACCCCCGACCCCAGAAATCCGTTCGGACCTCGCGGGGGGGGGCCATCAACATCAGAGACACGCGCCGTCGAAACCACGACGAGGGCTCGCGACGGAAATGCGCGCGGGGGGCTCGAAAAACGGACAAGAACGCCCGTCCCCCATTAGGGAGGGAAGCGGAAACAACGACTACATGGATGACATAGCTATTCACACATGTGATCCTTATCCTCCCGCTCTTCCTCCTCCTCCTCCTCCTCCTCCTCCTCCTCCTCGTATAATTATTATTAGTAGTAGTATTATTATTAATAATATTTTTATTATTAGTATTATTAGCATTATTAGTATTATTGTTATTCGTATTATTATTAGTATTGTTATTATTGTTATTAGTAGTAGTAGTAGTAGTAGTAGTAATATTAATGTGGCTATTATTACTAATATTAATATTCGTATTAGTAGTAGTAGTAGTAGTAGTAGTAGTAGTTGTAGCAGTAGTAGTAGTAGTAGTAGTAGTAGTAGTAGTAGTAGTAGTAGTAGTAGTAGTAGTAGTAGTAGTAGTAGTAGTAGTAGTGGTAGTAGTAGTAGTACTAGTACTAGTACTAGTAGTAGTAGTAGTAGTAGTAGTAGTAGTAGTAGTAGTAATAGTAGTAGTAGCAGTAATAATAATAGTAGTAGTATCCTCCTTAGTATTACTATTATTGTTCTTATTTTTCTTCTTATCATTATTCCTCGTCCTCGTCCTCCTCCTCCTCCTCCTGTTCCTCCTCCTCCTCCTCCTTCTCCTCCTCCTCTTCGCCGCCCCCCCCCCCCCCCCCCCCCCCCCACGGCCCTCCCCCACTTTCCGGTCCAGACTCCTCACCGATCCTCCCCCCCCGCGGGGGCGCGACGGCCTCTCCCTGGCCCTTTCATATTCCGCCGCGTGCTCCTCCACGCCCCTGACCAGGGCAACTCGCCGCTGCAGCGCTCCTACTATGAGGGGCAACGGTAGGGGGGGGGGGGGGGCACAGAGGGGGGATGCATCGACCTGGAATCGGTGATACATCGCCGGTAGATCGGCGATAGGCCCCCGACAGTGAACCCGCACCTTTCTGGGCGGGGTGGGGCTATCGGGCCCCTATTGGCGATCAATGGGCGATTTGGGGTCGATGCATCCCCCCCTATGCCTTTCCCCCCCTATCGTTGCCCCCGATACCACCCTCGTCCAACGAAAATAACCTCTAGAATGTATTACGTGGCTGAACTGTTTGTGGGGAGATACTGGACAGAGCGGCGGTGACTGCGAGGTACTTGTACGCGCCGCCCCTTCCAACGTCGGTCATTAACGAATTCCCGAGTCGTTCCCGGTCAGATCGCTTTTGCCCTGGCCCCGACACTGGAGGGGCGTCTATCGACATTGAAGAGCACGCCGACATCGCAGGTGCGTGGTCGTCACTCTTGAAGTTAAGTTTGACGAGGGTAGTAGATGAGCTGGAGAAGTTACGCGCAGCGTCTCGAATATGCGATTACTATCAACTCGCGCAGCTCCCACGGGTAAAACGGAGTCGCCTTAAGACAATCCCAGAACTTGCGTTCGGCATGCCAGCATTGCATGGGACGCAAAGCCATGGCCGCAAAAATGAAGCCACTTTCGTTCGGATAATCGTCTGGCCCCGAGTCCGCACGTGCGCCTTACGAGTGTCGTGCACGTTGCGATCAAGTACATATCCAGGAAACGGATCTACGGCATCCAGGTACCTTTTGCACATGTCTACCATCGGCCCACTCGCCCTTTGTCAGGCCCAGAAATGCAAGCGCCTGTTCCGGATGGTCCACCACAGCTTGCCTGGCGGCAGGCATCTGGCACAGGGGGGCATGTCCCTGAGGGCAGGCCCCCGTGGCCCCCCACCCATGCTTCGACGCCTGATATGCCGGCGCACTGCCTAAACATAAAGGGGAATGGGTCCAGGTTTCGCCTGCCCCCCCCCCTTGGGAGACTAACACGGTTAGGCGGCGCGCCTGGGGGGAAGTGAGAAGGGGCGGGCCTTCTCAGAAGGCTCGGAAGTCCCCCGGCCTTCTGAGAAGTTGTCTAAGCCTTCCCCGAAGACAGACACAAACTTCTCAGAAGGCGCGAGGGCCTCTGAGAAGTCCCGCCGCCTTCTGAGAAGGCCTTCTCCGTCTCACTTCCCCCCTTCGCTCGCCGCCGAACGGTGCAGCGTCACACCCTTGACCGCCCAACGAACCCGATGCCCTTCCATGTCGGCCTGCCACGCCTGCCTGGCACCGCCATTCTCCATTGCCCACCCAGCCCGTCAGCCCTGTCTGCCGAAGGTGAATCGACGACGGCGCGGTCAGAAAAACAAAACTCGACCGTTCCTGTTTGGAGTTTCACGCATGATGCGCGGGCCTCTGGAAGCTTGTGTGTTCTGCCTTTTTGGGGAGAGGGAGCTCTTCGAAAGATTGCAGGCAGGCTGCCACTCAGGAGCCCTTCCGGCCTCTGAGGAAGCCTCTTCTGGTAGCTTCCAGGCCCTCGAGAGAAGGCCCGTCCCTCCTACGGGCAGGATCCCTTGCTCAGCCTGTCGCGGCGGCGGACTCGGGCAGCACGCTGTGCCGTGCAAGCTGATATCGTGCCGCTCCGCTCCGCGAAGCGGGAGACTGGGGAAAGCTCGGGATGTGAGGAGGAGGAGGAGGAGGAGGAGGAGGAGGAGGAGGAGGAGGAGGAGGAGGAGGGAGGAGGGGGGGAAGCGGAGACTGGGACGTGGTCAGCGCGCCACGCCGAAGAGCGCTGGGCCAAGCTGGCGGCGCGACGCGCCAAGCAAGAGTTCCTGACCGCATGTCCGTAAAAAAAACCCAGACTGGTGCCATCCCCTTTGAAGGGGCCCTGGGACACACACACACACACACACACACACACACACACACACACACACACATAGATACACACCAAAAAAGGATCCCCCATATTTTCCCATATGTTCTGGGTTCTTGTCTTCCCCCCCACCCCCCATGTTTTCCAATACTTTCTGGGGAATCGCCGATTCATCGTGTCTGTGTGTCTCTCTCCCCCCTGACCCCTGCGCCACCCCCCCGGTGCGCGCCGCCAAGACGAACAGCACCAGGTACGACCTCGGGTGCAGGATGTCCACGGAGAAGCTCTGGTCCCAAACAGGATCTCCTGGCGACCTCCAGCGCACCTCGGTCTCGGCGAAGGGCTTCCCCTCGTTGACGCTCGGGGAAGACGAGAGGGGGGGTAGCAAGGGGGGGGGGTCGCGAATCCGCCGCGCGCAGCTGATTTGTCCAGCGCCTCTCAGCGCCGGAGGCGCCAATGTCTTGAGGAAAGCACCTGGCGGCGGGGCCGAGCCCGGCTGCACACGGCAGATCTCGTAAACAGCAGGGCCCCAACCACAAGAAACCTTACACAAGAAACCCAACCCTGAGACCCCCCAGGACGTCCATGGATTTTTTTTGTGTGTGTGAGCGCCACGCCTTCCATTGCAAAACCATCGAAACCCAAGAAACCCAGGGCACCCTGGAGGCAAGCGGGGTGGTTCCTGGCATGGGCCTCCACGATATACTCCACCCTTCCCCATCCCCCCGTCTCGCCCGCGCCCGAGATGCGCAGCTGCACGAAGGCGTCCAGCGTGTGCTCCAGGGAAAGCGCCCATGGATTCTCGGGGGGCGTCAACCGACCACCTCGCCCCGATCCTGGCCAGACCCATCCCCAGACATGCGACGTCCTGATTTTTTCAGGGCGGCGTCCCCGGAAGTCCCGACCCTTTCCCCGAGGCCGGTTTTTCATCCCGCGTCGTTCTTTGACGGGCCGAGGGCCCGGCGAGGGCCCCCCGGGGCCGAAAATAGCGAAAACTGCCGTCCTGATTTTTTTACGACGCGATCATGTCTGGGTCGTGTTAGGCCCAGGGCCGGTGCAGACGCCGTGGCGAGGGCGGCCCCTGCACCCGGCCCTGGGCCCGGGCTCGGCCCGGCCAGGGCCGCCGAGGCGGTCGCCGGCGACTCGGATCGAGGGCCACCTCTCGGAGACCGTGGCGGCCCTCCCGCCCAGCCCAGGGGAGGGGCCCAGGGTCACACAGAGGGAGGAGCACGAACCCCAGGACGCGCCCTCTTTGTCAAGAGCTTCTGGGTGTGGTCGTCTTCCCCCCTCCACACGCTGTCCATGATATTTCCCTTACTTTTCCTGGGAGCCGATGCTTCACTGTGTCGGCGTGCTGCTTTCCCCGCCGGGCCCGCGTCCTCTCAAACTCGGTCCGCGGAGCCCTCCCGGTGGTGCAGCCTGGCCCACACTTCGGGGCGGGCCCGGCCGCGGCGACGAGAGATGATGGGCCTGTTTTCCACCACCACCATAAGTTGGAGGGGGGAAGGAGGAGGAGGAGGAGGAGGAGGGAGGAGGAGGAGGAGGCGGAGGAGGAGGAGGAGAGGAGGAGGAGGAGGAGGTCCCCCCCTCCAACTTCTGGTGGTGGTGGAAGCCACGCCCATCAAGAGAAGGCCTCCGGGAGGCGCCGAGCAGGGGCGAAAAAGCACCTTACCGGGGCCGCCGCGGCCCCGCCGGCGGCCTTTCCCCGACGGCCGCCCCCCGAGGCTTGAGGACGGTGTCCATGGGCAGCAGGCCCTCGCCGCGCTGCACCTTCACGACGAGCCGCGCGCAGGGCGCGGGCGCGCCCGCCTCGGGGCTCCGCACACGGGGGCTTAGCTGAACGGTTTAGTTTACCCTCCCCCTCCCCCTCCTCCTCCTCCTCCTCCTCCTCCTCCTCCTCCTCCTCCTCCTCCTCCTCCTCTTCCTCCCCGTTTGCTGTACCCCCGTCTACGGCGCCCAGGGCCCCCTAAACGGGGGCATAGCCAGACGTGGACATCGGCGTTCCCCGTGCCCCCGTTTGCTGTGCCCCCGTCTTCGGCGCCCCGAGCCGCCAGTGCGGGCGAGCCCGCTGGCGCGGGCGCGGGCGCGAGCGCATGGTGCTCTGGCTGCGGCGGCCCAGGCGCGGCCGCCTCCGCCTGGAAGCTCGTGCCGCCCTCCTCTCGAGGCAGGCGAGCGGCTGGGGAGGGCGGGAGCAGAGTCCCAGACGTCGGGCGCCTCGAGCAAGAAATCGAGACAGAGGTTTTGCAGGAGTCTCGGCCTCGCAAGGCACGTACCGGGCCTCGGGACCGTCGAAAAACAGCTCCGGATGGCAAACCGTTCCCTGGGAAGTGGTCGAGAGGTCGGGGGCCCGCGTCTCGACAAAACATCGAGGCGCCGGGTGTCTGGGGTCGGGGAGGCGCCCGGCGCGAGCCTGGAGGTCTCGAGTTGGACCGGCGGGGCCGTCGGAAGACTGATGAAGCCCAGACTCAGGTTTGACGCGGGCTCCCGCTGCAGCACATCACACGAGGCCTGGACCGTCAAAACCGGGGCGTGCCCGTCGAGAGCAGCGTGGGCTGACCCGAGCTCCAGCGAACTCGAGTCTTACGCTTCCCTGGCAGAGGGGATGGGTCAGCCAATCGGCTGCAGTGCAGCCGGCTCGTCCTCCCCGGAGCCTCCCGGCACTGGGGGCGCCAGCTTGTCGAGGCAAGCGGGGGTCAGTACAGGCGTGGCGGGAAGCGAATCGGCTGCAGCAAATTGCCTAACCCGGATTCCCCGCCGTCCCTACCCTTTCGTCCGACCCGATATCCTCGGAGCCTTCCCCGCGCGGCCTGTGCAGGATCAGTCAGCATCAAATCGGGAAGTCGGCCCGCACACAGTCGGACCTGGGCCAGAAGAACATCCCTCGAGAACGTGAGACCCTCCGCCGGCCAAATGAAGAGCATTCGACGGTACCCTCCTCCAGGATGCACAAGAAAATCCAACAAATTATGGGTACCCTCCCCGAACCGACCTCGATCTTGTACCTCCGTCCATGTGCGTCGCGTCGGGCTGCAGTGGCACGGGGCCGGGACCAGATCGCATCGGCCGCGCCAGGATGCGCAGCAGCGCTGCGCAAGCACCGGGCCGCACGGCGCCGTCGAAACAGCGGAATCGAAGTGGATCGGGCTGGCGTCGACGGGTTTCGGAAACCCTGAACCGAAGAACCTTGCCATCTCTGGAGACGCAGATGGTTGTTTCCGCCGCCCTCCGCCGAGCTTCCGCCGGCTTCTGCGGGCGGAGCCGCCCGATCGTTTTACCTGCACCGCCTCCCGCCGAGCTTCCGCCGCGCTTCCGCCGAGGAAGAGATGCCAACTCCTTCCATCTTCGAAGGCGAGCCCGTTTTCGGCACGCACCACATCGATGCCGAGTCGGACCGACGGGGGCGACGCATCGGCGATGCACCGCCGATGCATCGGCGATGCGTCGGCGTGGAGGCAGCCGGGCTCCGCGTCGAGCCGAGCCGCCGACGCATCGGCGATGCGGCGCGGTCCTCCGGCCCCACCTGCTCCGACCCCGCCTGGGCGGCCTGGGGGCGATGCCGAGGTCGAGTCGGGTCGGCAGGGGGGGCCCCGTGGCCTCGGGGGCGGCCAGCCCGCGTCCCTCTCGCGCCGCCTCAGCCCGCAGAAGTCGCACATGCCAGCGGCGCGGCGGGGCGGGGAGGGCGGCCCCGCGGCGGAGGCGCGCGGCGGGGGCGCGCGGCGGGGCGCGCGGCGGCCTTGGGCCCCCCTCCCCTCGGGGCCCGCCGCTCCTCGCGCCTTCTCCTGCTGCTGCTGCTGCTGCTGCTGCTGCTGCTGCTGCTGCTGCCCCAGACCATCTGATCCTCCATGATTTTGGAGTGCAGGAGTTTTTTAGAGAGCGCTCTCCAAAATTTAAGCGCCCTTGGGATTTTAGAGAGCAACTCTAAAAATCCAAAGAGCATATCAAGAACAACGGCGCTCCAACATCTAAGAGGATCAACTGTACTGCCCCGTTGTGTGCAACTGCTTGTTGCACCACTTCGCTCCACGCACGATCAGATACGTGTACGCACGTGCATATGCGTGCACGCACGTGGGCTGATGTCCATGCACTTGCGCGTTCATGTGCGTGTCGATTCGCCTCTATATGTGGATGTGCGGGTAAACGTGTGCATTTGCACGTGCACGTGCAATCTGTTTGCTCAACGGTCATACACTGTCCTCGGGCGCGTGGCTGTAATGGGCTTCCGCGATGCGGAATCTTGTTGTTGTTCGTTGTTTGTTGTTTGGCGTCGCCCCCCCCCCCGCCCCGCGACCCGCCCCCAAAAAAGCGGTGGAGTTTACTTGATCAGGGGAGGCGCCCCAAGGGGAGTTTACTTGATCAGGGGAGGCGCCCCAAGGGGGGTTTACTTGATCAGAGGAAGCGCCCCAAAGGGAGTTTACTTGATCAGAGCGTTTTCTCCAATGCGCACTTTCGATGCCCCTGGAACCCGAAACTCCGCCCCCCAAAGACGTCCGCGGCTGGCGCAGCCCCCCTCTCACCTGAAGCCGCACAAGCAGTCTCTAAATTCTGGTGTCTCGTTTTCTTGGTCCAGATTTTTAAAGGCGTCTCGAATTTTTCGAGACGCCTGATTTCAAGACTGGCGTCTCGATAGCTCGGTTGTCGCTCATCGCCGCGTCTCGCGACGCCTGGCAAGGAGCAAAACCACGAAATGTTGGCGCCATTCTGTCAGAGTTTGTTTTTGTTGCGCCCTCAGAAACCTCTGGAACCCCAAGGGTGCTCGAGGCCTCGGACGGTTCGAACGCCCTCCCGCGGCTACAACCCAATGATCGGAAGCCTACGGCGGAACAGCACAAATTCAGCGAGCAAGCGACGAGCGCAGGCGCCGACGGAGGGAACAACAGGGAGGAGGGAGGGAGCAATCTGCACAAACGGAGCCAACACGCAGCGCTGGCACCGCCACTGCTTAGGATAACAGACTCCTCTCAACAAAACCGCGCAAACGCGGAGCGATACGTTCGCCTGCGCACACACATGCTCGGTGACCCATACTCGGACTTAATCGCACTCATGCGCACTCGCACCCAGACTCATTCACTCTAGGACCCGCCCATACTCAGATCCATTCGCCCTCAGAGTCAATCACAATCATACCTTTCAGTGTTTTCAGACTCACGTACGTTCAAACTAACTCAAGCTCAGACTTGAGGAACGCATGCAGAAGCTGAGACACTCGAAAAAATATAAATACCCCCTGTCACCGTTCATGCCCGGATTCCGTCACACCATGAGACCCATCCATGCGCAAATCCACTCACTTTCCGCCACGCTATCCGATGTGCAATGTTTGAATCGATGTGCCGTTTGCGGGGGGTCGGCGAGTGGCCTTGGTCGAACAGGCAATGGTGCCTCTGCAGTACCATCATTGCGCCAGGGAACGGGCCATCGGACCTACTTGAACACTTGATCACCTGTATCTCGCACTGTTTTGGCTCAAGCCAAGCATCGAAGTTTACATGCCAGACTTCCGATATGGCGCCCCGCGTGCACGCATGGCGTGGTGACATTGGTGTTCTGGTGGACGCGGTGGCTCCTTACGTTCAAGACATCATCGTGGCTGGAGGCATCAACTACGAAAGCACGGATTTCAAGATCGGCATCGACACAACGCAGCTCGTGAACTACAGGGGCTTGATTACCAACCTCGTTCGCGTGGACACCCGAGGGGCCTACTTCAGCCAGCAGGACATGCAGAAAGCCTTGGATGCTCAGTTCTCGAAGCCAGAGTACAAGTCTGGGGTGTCAGGCATGGTCGCCGCCAGCCCTTAATGGGGCACTGTGGAGGAGGCGGTGAGACACACGGCATACTCAATCAGGGTCATGTGTGGGCATCTCAGGTCGAAACATGAGCAATACCAGAAGAAAAAGAATGTCGGCGCAGGCGCCCGCATTAGCCACCCAGAGGAGTTGCAAGAGATCTACCAGCTTATCACCGTGAAGACCAATGACGAAACTACGAACAGCCTTCATCCGATGCCTTTCTTCAGGTCTGCAGGGCAGGATTCCGATGATGAGGATGAGAGCGATGAAGATCCCATGGTTGTCATCTGGACGCAGTTCGACTGGTCGAAGATGGAGGCGGTGGCTCTCATGAGCGATGGGACCACGAGGAATGCAGACGAATACGTGGATGGTGGATCTGGCTTCGCCCTCGCCAGGTGGAGCAATGGCGCATCGATGGAGCTCGAGATCCCAGTCACCGAGCTCAAGGGGGGCAAGATCGTCGGGAAGGGCGCGGTACCAGATGCAGCTGCAACCCTGAAGAAGGCGATGAAGGGGCGGAGGCCTGCAGCTGCAGAGCCACCTCGCAAACGACCTTCCGCAGCCGCTGTCGCTGAGAAGGCGGAGGAGAGCAAGCTCGATGACGAGGGCGAGGAGGAGGAGGAGGACGGAGAAGAAGACCTCGAGGAAGACGAGACGCCAACATCTGGAAAGAAGCCTGCCGCAGCTGAACGCCCGCCGCGCAGGAGGCCAGCAGGCCAGAAGGCGGTCGAAACGATCGAGGAGTTCCCCAACATGAAGTACATCAAGAGCACGCTACCGTGCGAAGCATGGCCGAGTTCATTGGGCCCATTGAAGAAGTCATACACGCTCAACAAGGATGGCTGTTCCAACATTTCGGTCCTGTTCGAGAAGCGGTCCTTCTACTGCAGCAGGGTGGAGACGATTCCGCCAGAGATTGCCGAGCACGGTCTGAGGATCAACGCTCAGGGAGGCGTCCAGATCGGTTTCGGTTCCGACGTGGAGTCTTCGTGGAAGCTGGCGAAGCAGGTTGCTGGGTGGATGTAGGGCTGTGCGTAAATTAGTCCAGCGCAGCTCGGATGCCCCAGTTTCAGCTCATTGGGTCAGCAGCGTCAGAGGAGCAGAGATCGCAATTAGCCAGTCCGATCACAACATCCAGGAATGCAGGAGAGCCGAGCAGCATTGAGCACTTGAGCATTCCGACCTGGGACCCTCCTTGGGGCCACCCTCCAGGAGCTCTCCGACCCCCCCTGGGGCGCGCCCAGGGAAAGAGGAACAACAGTTGAGGAGGACAAGGAGGAGGAGGAGAAGGAGGAGAAGGATGATGACGATGACGATGACGAGGAGGAGGAGGAGGAGGAGGAGGAGGAGGAGGAGGAGGACGACGACGACGACGACGAGTCGAACGACAAGCGTCTTCCACGCCCCGACAGGGTCGGCGAAACAGAACGACGAGCGTTGAAACAAACACGCTACTACGCCACGAAACAAAACGACGAGCGTTGAAAAAGCGTGATCAGCTGAGCTACGTGAGCAACACCGCAATATATCAACAAACTGCGTGGAACTGACGAACTGTCGCCGACTGTCGAAATTTAGCACGAATCAGCAACTCCATAGCGCCATCTGGGCTCAAGCCAGCATGTCGGACGAGTCCGTTTGCGCCATGTGTTTCAATGACATCGTCCATAGCGACCCCGTCTGGCTGTGGCCTTGCACTCACAAATACCATCTAGCCTGCGTTGCCCGGAACCTAACTGGATTCCCATGTCCAGAGTGCAGACTTCCATGGGCGCCCGACGATACGGTTCTGCTCATGCAAATGTGCGCCGACCACGGCATCCTGATCGACGTTTCAGCTCCCTCGTCACCAGAAGTAAATTTTGGGAATCCCAGGCCTCCCGCGGACTTCATTCCTACATGCTGCCCTCGTGTTGCGATTGATGAAGATGGCAACTCGGTGCCATTGGACAATGATCGGCGCATGTCGTGGTTTCCAATCTTACAAGGTGGTCAGTGGCAACCCGTGTACAAGTGCATGACTTGCTTTCAGGAGGTAAACTTCAACGCCCATCAAGGCCGCATCAACCGAGAAGCTCCTCCAGCAATGTGGCCATCGTGCCCAACCCATGGCCTTCGGGCTGTTGGCTACGACTGCTCGGTCAGGGCATACTGCTGGGTTTGCTGCTCCCAGAGCGTCGACTTCGACGTCCCGATGATCTTTGAGCAGTGCATGCACGAACACTTTCATCCCGTTGTCGATCGGCCTGATCTTCAAGCAGAGATTTCCGTGAGCTCTGACTCGGGGGCAGAGACCGACGCGCCGATCGATGGCAACGAGCATCCCGCGGTCGGCGACGGTATGTCTATCGATGGAGGCGCGCCCAGCGGCGACGGCAGCGACTCAGACGTTGACTTTGGCGCAGCCATGGGCGAGCTCGAGCTCATCGTTCAGCGGGCCGAGGTTTTGGACGAACTGGTACATCTGAGTGCAGCGGCAGATTGCGACAGCAACGATTCTTAGTGCCTCACGGTTGCATCGGTTCGTTGCTCGGAACGCAATGCAATGCATGCAAAACAACGCACTTGCACAACCACGCTTGCACCGTCCTGTATTTCTGCGCCTCATCCTGGTCCTCCACCCCATCCAATCCCTCTTCCACCGTCTCCGCCTCCCCTCATTTCCCCCTCCACCCCCCTGCCCCGTCCTCTTCCTCGGCTGCCCTCGCCTCTGTGGTCAGGCACTGCGAAAGCGCTGATCCACCGCGAGCCTCTCGGGAAGAACGCTTCTCGACACCTCCAGGTGGAATCGCATATCGAACATCCATTTGGTTTCAGCCCGAATTCTCTGGAACATGTCTTGGAAACCACGTCTCGAAACGCTCTGGAAGACCATGTCCCG